TCCTGATTCGTGGTATGCGGGTTGTCACATGGGGCTATCAGATTCCCAGCTGACGTGATTGAGATTCATGTTGACTCAGTAAGGTTTGGGTGACTCTCTTGTGTGGTGCTAGTAGATCATAGGGGATTTGGCAGTGATGTAGTTTGTAATGCATATTGTGTCACCATCGGTGTAGTAACAAAATGCTTCATGCCCGTCTTATTTGTAGAACAGGTCGTGGCCTTATAGAATTGAACGAAGATATAAAGAATTGGTCGTGTCCTGATACAACTGAACGGAGAAAGAGCGACGAGGGGATATTTACGTAAAGTAAATTTGTGCGATTAATGTTGATTTCCAGATTATTAGCAATGAATGTAATTACTGATATTTTACATATTAGTTGCAATCAATGCAATTGTTGATGCTTCCAATATTAATTGTACTTAATGCAATCAATGATGTTTTCAAATTGTGGTGATGTGATGGATACATCATAGACGGGACTCGTGACATTGGATATAGTTGGGTTTTTTTTAATAGTTTGAATTGCTTACCACATATGTCACGTGGTGAGATATAGTTGGTTTAATGGTTTAGATCATACGGATTCACCAAACTCGTGCTTTTACAAATAGTAGTAGATTAAAATATTTAAATAATTGGGAATTTATTCCCTGATAACCTTTTTATTTTCTGTTTTATTAAATCACTAGATGACGATCCAGCGGCTCTGTTTGAACGGGGGAGGGGCATGGGCGAAGGGCAAGCGCTCATACCATGGGATGGAGATCGAGCGGTCGCATTTGATGCCGAAGAACGCGCAAGCGATGATCAGCAGATCCCGCCCGCGAGCGGCATCGATGCAGAAACAGAGCGCGGCGGTGAGGGAGTGGGGACGGACAGAGTGGAAGCAAACGGGAACACATGTTTGTCGAAGTGCACATGCCGTGAGGTGAGGACGCGTCCAGAGGCGCGATCGAAACACCGGTAGCTGCGGTGGTCGGAGCAGTACCCAAGGAAAATGCACGCGACGGAATGATGATGGAGTTTGTGACGGGGGGTGGCTGAAGTATTGGGTAGCCTAAACAGACGAAAACAGGAAGGATGGAGTAATTGGGTGCAACTCCAAGGAGGAGATCGTGCAGCATGGTGGGTGAAGTAGGACGGCAGGGCCGGCGGTTCAGCAGGAAGGTGGAGGTGCTGAGCGCTTCGGCCTAGAAATGAGGCAGCATGGAGGAGTGGAACAACAGAGAGCGAACGCTGTCGTTGTGTGTGCGCAAGATCCGCTCAGCTTTTCTGTTCTCTTGACTGGTGTATGTACAGAAGAGGCGGAGGACACTGCCATGGGAGGTGAGCAGAGAGAGAGAACAATGGCATTGTCGAACACTCGAACTCATGGCCATTATCAGTTTGCAAGGCAAGAAGGGGCTGCTTGAACCGAGTTTGAACATACGCATAAAACTGAACAATGACAGGCAGTGCTTCATCAAGGATTACAAGAACTGATAACCAGATAGGCTACTGACAGAGAAGTCCAAATATCTAAATGCAACAATTGGAAAGGAAAGAATCAACGACTATGCGATTCCTGAAAGGGAAGCCGTGTGTGTTTGCCAAGACGACACGCACGACAGGAGCGTGGCGAGGACTGGGTGCAGGCGAACTCGAAGCCATAGATCAGAGGACGCCCGGGGTTCCCCATCTACTGGTGCCAGAGATTAGTGGTGACCGCGCCAGCGAACGGAAGCGCAAGGGGTGGTGAGGATGTGCCGGCCACGCGATACAGATCACCCTCGGAATCACTATGGAGAACCACCGACCAGGTGCGGAGGTCCTTTACTGAAAAATCAAACTTATCAAATTCTACTGAAACTGTATTTTCACGACACAGTTGACCGAGAGAAAGTAGATTTTTGATAAGCGATGGGGTAAGAAGGACACTACGGAGCTCTAGAGGAGTGATGGAGGTGGCGAGGGAACCAGTGCCGACGTCCGTGATGGGTAAATGAGCACCGTCCCCGATGATGACGGAGGCGTGAGTGGAGGAAGGACGGATAGAAGAGAGTGTAGCAGGGTTTGACGCCATGTGCGCAGCAGCACCCGAGTCGAGATACTAGTCGACGGTGCTACCGGACGACGAGGGGCCGAAGGTAGCGCTTTGTAGAGCGGCTTGGAGCGATGCCATGTCACAGGTTTGCTGCGGCTGCTGAGGCGGAGGCGGTGCAGGGGCGTAGCCATAGGGAGGCGACACACCTCCAGGGGCGCCGTACCCATAAACTGGTGGAGCAGCATGCGGGGACGACATGGCCATCATGGCTTACCGATGACGGGTGCGAGGACGTGGACCGAGCAGGCCGGCACCATGAGCACGCAAAGCGATAGGGCAGCCCTAGACAAGCCAGGTCCTGGAGTTCGCACCCGGTGCAGGCGCAGGGTAGCTCGAGGGAGGCCATGGTGGTTGCGGGCTAGCGGAGCTTGAGGCCCCTTCGTTGCTGATTTCGCGCTTCTTCCCGCGCCCGTGCCCACGTCCAGCACCAGAGGAGTTGGGATCGATGATAGGAACAAGAGGGCTCGGCACGGCACGACGCGTGGTGATGACGGCATGTGCGCCCTGGTGACACGTCGCCTGCTCAGCGCGAAGCTCTTCCAGCAGCACAAACGACCATGTCAGCAGGAAGGAGAGAAGAGAATCGCGGGACGTGATGTGCGGGAGGGCCGCATGGTACTGGTAGTTCAAACCGCACAGCAGATGGAAGACATGTCGCGTTTCGGTGACCGGTTGGCCCAGATCGCGAAGTTGGTCGATGTAGACCTTGAGCTTGGTGCAGTACTACATGATGGACAGGTCCCCTTGCATGAGGGCGTGGTACCCCACGTCTATGTAGATGGACGGGAGAGTTGGTTGGCCTGGAAGATGGCATCGACGGCGGCCCAGAGCTCGGCAGCGGTGTCCTCGGGCTCCATAACTGCATTGAGGAGTTGTGGTGAGAAGGTGGTGGAGAGCCAGTGGACGACGGCATGATCTGTCATCACCAAGTCGGTGTCGTTGGAGTGACGAAGGACGTCGGCAGCGACGTGATTGTGGACCTCAAACATGTCAGAGTGCGGTGTCGAAGTGGCGATGCCACTGGGTGTAGTTGTTGGCGGCAAGATCAAGAACCATCGGGACAAGGCGACGGATATCAATGTCTGGAGAACAGAGGGAGGGGTGGGCTGGGCAACCGCCTCTGGAACAGCAGGAGCGATGCAGAGCGCGGTAGGAGACACTAGTAGAAAACAGGGCTATGTCACGGGGCAATATTCACATTAGTCCCGGTTCAGTCACGAACCGGAACTAACGTGAGCATTGGTCCCGGTTCATGCAGCTAAGGCATTAGTCCCGGTTCACTCGGGCCCTTTAGTCCCGGTTTAAGACATGAACCGGGACTAAAGGGTGCGATGACCATTAGTCCCGGTTCATGCCTCAAACCGGGACTAAAGATTACACCTTTAGTCTCGGTTTGACGCACGAAC